TAAAATAGTAAGATAGTTCCCTTCTTTATCACTAGAAGAATTTTGGAAACTTTGTTATGAAAATAAGTGAAAGTCAACCTTTAAAAAGGGGCTGGGGAGATGGCTCACTAGAATAAGCGCCTGGCAAGAGCAAGGGCCCGAGTTCAATCCCCAGGTCCCCAAAAAAATAATAAATGAAATTTGGGGCTGGCCAAATAGCTCAGTGGATTTAAAGTGCCAGGCGCTGGGGGTTCAATCCCTGAGCCTGCCCTACCAGCCCTGCCCCCAAGGCATGCTGAGACAACTGGGTGTGGTGGCATGCACCTATAATCCCAGCTCTTGGGAGGCTGTAAATAGGCGGATCACTACGAGTCTGATCTAGTAGTGAGACCCTGAACACCCTATAGACCAGACCCTTCCCTAAAAATACAAAAAATAAAATTAAATTAAAGCACAAGGTCCTGAGTTTGATCCCCTCAAAAAAAATTAGGCGAAATAGCCAGTGAAAATTAATATACAGAATACAAGATGTAAAGTATACAAAATGGGTAATTTACTTGTTTTAAATATCCTGCAGCATGAGGGGGAAAAAAGCGAGTTGAGATTCTTATAGTACAAATTGAACAGATGCTTAGGAACAACAAAGCTTTCCCTATAAATCCATTATGTCCAGAGGAATGGCTTGGTCTACATGAATGTTTTTTCAGGAAACTTGTCCAAAAAATTTGAGGAAAAGAGCCCTGGAACTGTAGAAGACTCATTCCAAGGCAGGTATTTCTATTTTACAAAATAGGATTGAGAAAAAAATAAATAGGATTGAGGACTTCTAATCCCTAACCCACTTCACATCTCCCTGCCAAGAGGAGAAACATACTTCTTACCACTCTAGCTGCACTTTACCTAGTCTGAGCTTAAATTCTTTTTTTTCGCCCCGCCCCGTACTGGGGACCAAACTCAGAACTTAAGGCAGGCGCTTTCAGCTGCTGAGCTATCTCCCTGGCCCTGAGCTTAAATTCTTATCAACACTATTGGT